GGTTCTGTCCTCCACGACGAGTGCGTCGTTGTACTTCTTGTTGTTCATACGTGGATGTCAAAACATCAACACGTGCTGGCTCTGTCTCTGCAACATCAACACGTAATGGTTCAGTTCTTCCAAAAGCAAAGAAACCATGACCAGAACTTGATGCAGCAGAAGAATAATGAGCTTGTTGGGTTTGTTGATTCTGTATGGCAGGAATTGATGTGGTCTGAGGTTGAACATAGTTCGACTTGCCTTTTCCATCTCCTGGCTTTCCTCCTTTGCCATCATCATCCTTGCCTTTCTTGCCTTTCTTTCCTTTTCCTTTTCCTTTTCTCTGGAAGTATCCATACTCATCCATGTAGTATGAATCATCATAGGCTCAATAGCCTTCATTCCAGTTTTGATCATCGGCCCAATAGCCGTCATAGTTTTCATTCCATTCTTCTTCTTGCCAATCTTCTTCATAACCTTCTTCACTCACCATGTGAGAGCGGCCTTTCCTTCTTCCTTTTCCTCGGCCTTTTCCTTTCCTTGATCTGAAGAACCTTCGTCCTCCTCTGCCTTTTCCTTTTCCTTTTCTCTTTCCTTTACCTTTACCTCGTCTGATGTGTTTGCCTTGGAACCTTCTCTGATACCATGTGTAGTCAGCGTCATCATATACCCAGAAAACATCTTCTAAAGCATCCAGGAATCCTTCTGCGCCGTCTTCATCATCTTCGGCCCAATAGCCGTCGGTTCCTTCTAATTCACCTTCATCCAGTACGAGGAAAGATCTTCTCTGTGCCATGCCAGAGGGTTGCATCAATGGATTGTCAACTGCTGTTTTGGTAGTGCAAAACATTTCCAAAAACAGATCACGTAATTCTTGTATGTTGTATCGATCGAGGGTTCGTCCACAATGTGTCATGATACTTGTGAGTGTGTTTCTCTGATCCTGTGTCAGGTCTGCCAGACTTACAAAAGTCAATGCTAGCAAATTTTCACCCAGTGGGAATGCCTGTCTCTGAATTTGTCTACGATGTTCTTGATACTGTTTGAATGCCACCAATGCCAGTTCATCCGACCAAGGAACAGGTACATGAGGAGCTGTTCCTGAGGCTGCTGCTACTTCAGCTCTTTCTTGTTGATCTCGATCATGTTCTTGACGTTTTTGTGCAACAAACAGGATTGCTTCAGGACTAGTCCCTGTTGCTTCTGGAAGTAAATCCATCCAAGACTCAATAAGTCTATTGCCAGTGAGTTGAAATCTAGTCATCCACTTCTGAAGATCCATAGTTCCTCTGTTGTACTTCATGAACTGCATGAAACGGTATAAAAACACGTTCTGGGCACCTTTGATGAAATGAGGTCGTAGAAATCTTTTGAAATAGTTCACTCCTTCATGGGGATCCCTGAGCATCTCTCTATCCAGTAGCCTCTTGTATTGTTGAGCATCTCCTTCCAGTCGATTGCGCAAAGCTGGACCACGTTTCTCAGGTTCTAACTCCGTGATGTCACACCAGTCATCAATTGCATCTTCAAAAGCAAAGAAACTAGTTCTCCCATCATATGCTGGAGCTACCTTTGTGGTCATTTGTTGCGTCATGTGAATTTGTGTCTGCTGGGGTGCTCTTCTCATTGCATAAGAGTCATATTGGTTCCATCCATCTGCATCGACAATGTCGAAGTCATCATCATCATAGCCATGGCTTGCCATTGCTTGGGCTCTACCTGGAGCTCACCCTCAATGAGGGATCACAGCTCCGCTGCCACTTGAAGAGGGGCCCTAGCGTCTACTTCAAGATCAGCTAAGGCGTCTTCCCCAATGACAGCACTCTTTTACTCAGCCTGTTGCCGGTCCGTGCTTGTCTACAGGGTTACTCTATATACCTCTTGAGCCTTGAAGGGCGCATATAAATGTGCTCAATACTCATGCATGTACCTCTGTAGGTATTAGGTCGAAACAAAAACAAGGGCGCAGGAACAAGTAACCTTCTGAACCCCTCTTTGGCTCTCTTGCTCTCTCTCTCTCTCTCTCTATCTGCTGTCGTTTCCCCTTGCGCCTTTTCCTGTTTGTTTTTGTTCCTGGCTTTCTTTCATACTTTCGTTTCTTTCCTTTGTTCTTTTGTTCTTTTCCCTTGTTCCACATCAGTTGCTTTTCTCCTTCCCTCCTTCTTGCCCTCTTTCTTTCCTTCCTTGCACTGTTCCTGTCTTCAGCCTTCCTTGCCTGCTTCCTTCACTCCTTCCTTCCCTCCTTCGTGTCCGCCTTGCGTCCCTTCTTACTTTCCTCCTTCCTTCATTCCTTCCATTCCTCCTCCTTTTCATCCTTCCTTCCCTCCTTTGTTTCCTTCTTTCTTTCCCTCCTTCTTTTCCCGCCTTTGTTTTCTCCTTTTTGTTCCCTCCTTCTTTCCCTCCTTTGTTTCCTTCCCTCCTTCTATCTTTCTTTCTTTGTTTCTTTGTCTTTTCTTTCTTTCTTTCTTTCTTTCTTTGTCTTTTCTTTCTTTCTTGCTTTCTTTCTTTCTTGCTTTCTTTCTTTCTTTCTGTCTTTTGGTTCAAAGAATATTGTTGCTTGATCCCAATAATAATTTGTTTGCTCCTAAAAACATTTGTTTGATCCTAATAATATTTTTTCTGATCCCCATCCCCTCCCAGACCGCCTTGTCTGAAATCCCCGACACAAATACCGAGGTACCGGGGGCGCAGTCGCAACGGCAAAATGTGCGCTGCGGGCCGGTGTTTTGAAATCTGACCAGCGGCCTCGAGGCAGTCAGGAGCCGTCCAGGAGGGAAATGGGTGGAAATTCATCGCTTCACATGGGGATACGTTGCTTCTGATTCAAGCATTCTGTCATGCAGCAAAAACCAAATGCTTGGCAGGTACGCTCTTTAATTTAGGTTCAACCGATACTCCATGTCTTAACGAGGATCCATGTAGTATAATATAAATATTGTGTAATCACATTCAATCCGATGTCTGCGCGTGTGTTCCCAATCAAACACGCGGAGTTGATCAATGATCAGTCTTGTACTACAGTGTGCAGGTCTTCAACACCGAAACGTGATCACGGCAACAGCAGGGATGATTCCCACCCTGAACTCTTCAGCTGATCTTTCAAACATTCATCCCTGCGCACAACCACCCGTGCTGCATTCAAAGCCGCCTTGACAGACCAGGCACGGGCGCCTCACGCCGGGACACAGTCACAATGGCAAAACCGGCGCTTCGCAGTGCAAGTCTGTACGTTGTTTTTTTTACGCTGGATCCGAAAATCTTGGGGCGTTGAAGGGGAAACCCTGACCCAACGCAACTGTCTGAGTTCCTTAGATCTGCTGGCCAACCAGCAATGCAATATTTGAACAAAACAAAGGACCACGGATTCTTCAGTTCATTCTGTTGTGTTGTGTGCATGGATGAAGCCGCTGGAAAGTTTTATGCGAGGGTTCATGTGCTGCACTGTCTGCACATGTATGTGTGTGTGCGCGCGCGCAACCCCGTATGACATCCAACATGCACCCAGCACGCAGCTTTGCAAAAATACATGTGATATCATGTGATACAACTAGTTCAATGTCACGCCTGCGTGGTTGCGACTGGTTTTCTCGATGGTGCATCAGTCAATGTGATTCCAACTGGCTTTGTTAGTAGATTGCGTAGATCGTTGTCTATCCGTATTTGCAATGCATGCGACTGTATACGGTGCTAGCTTCTGTCAGGCTGCTTAAAATGCTGCGGCGCATCGTCTGCGAAGTGAAGAACTCTTGTGACTAGTGCAATGTTGGCAACTTCATCCTCAAGTGCTGTTCTTCTTTGGCTCTTTGAATTGCAAGTTTTTCAACTCAAGATTTCCGACCGCATCTTTTTTGATGACTCTGGCGCACGACCTCAGATGCCGCGACGCCGATTTCGGGCATTTAAGTAAAGAGCAGTCAAAGTGGCCATGGGCCTGCTGCCGGATTTGGCACATGTCGAGTGCACCCCAAGCAGCCTGCTACGCTATGCTACGCCATGCCACTCTACGCACGGTATCTCCTGGTCAAGGACAGGTACCATGCCCGCGCAAGGAGCCCTTGTGTCCCCAAAGGTAAGATTCTATTGGCCGTCATTACAAAAAGATGCTATTTCCATCATCGTTGCGAAGGCCATCATTGGCCATGTATTTTGCAATTTCAGAAGGGATGACCCCAACCCCCTTAGCTCGGCATCTACCCATCTGTGCGAAAAAATAGATGCCATACCTGTGATCAATTCCAACTTTCATCTTTCAGCTGGGTGTTCTTTAATTCGCCACGAATTCGCCTGCATGAAGACTTGTATCATCTGATATCCCATTTGCCTTATCGATCTTGTGCTCAGGGTCACGGGCTGATAGGTGCTGACGGTCTGCAAGAAATCCTTGTGAGTCTGGTGCATAGAAAACGGCTTCTCTGAGATGAACCGGCTCAGAACCAGATTTTTCTGGGGCTCAAAATTACAGGCATCAGAAGCACAGGCCCATCGGCCCACTGACAGACGAACAACTAGAGTTCAACTCACAGTTTGTCCAAAATCAGGACTCTTGCAAACCTAGGAATCTTCCTCCACAAGCAAATGCGGGTTTCGAACGAGCCAGGCCTCAGGGAATTTCCACTTTCAGCTGGAGCCGTTGACATCTAACACCCACGCAGCTGACGCAGAGACTCATATATTTCATAGTCAAATGGTGAAACATGGTCAAATATATTGAAAAATGTGAGTCAAATCTTCTTGGTTGCCACTGCCACTGTTTTCCTCAGTGCATCAATCAATGTGATGCCAACTAAATTCGTCAGTAGATTGCATAGATGGAAATATCTCTGGAGCATGTGCAATGCGACTGTGGGGTGCAAGCTTCTGTCTGGTGAAAAGCTGCGGCGTGAGGTGTGTGAACTGAAGGATATTTCTGACTTTTCGATGTTTGCACTGCAAAGTTTGCACCTGCTGAGCTGCTGCTCTCTTCCTACTCTTTGAGAATCTTTGAGATGACAAGTGGCTTCGGTCAGAATTCCAACCGTAACTTTTTCGATCACTTGACGTCTTGTCGCATCGGCCTCACGGAGTGCCCATTCACCTTGAGCTGTGAGTTGTCGATAACTCTGGCGTCACCGGTGACGTCCACCTGCGACACAGAAATTCTGTGCAAAACGGGTGGGGGTCCCCTGCTATGGCAGACCGCAATTCATTGAAATTTGGAGAGCGTCACCCGAGTGAGTGTGAAGTGTATCAATGTATCGCGTACAATATCCTGCTGTTCAGGAGATAAAGAAGGTGGCAAAAACTTCGACTCACACACACACAGTCACGCAACGGTAGCAGAATCTCTTTATGGGTTGCAGGGCGCCCTTATGACCCTTGGGGCACTACCGGGTGCCAGTCACTCATGGTCATGGCTCTTAAAGAAGAGGCTGCCACTCCTCGTGACTCATGACTCTGTCTGACTGCAAAGTTCTCCAACACAAGACTATAAACATGCACATTCGATGTGAATATACATATATATATATATTTGTATCATTATGTATATATATATATATACATGGGAGGGGCCTGGTGTGAGCGGCAGAAAATTGCATTTTTTTGCAAACCTAAATAAAATTAATCCAGATATGAACAGATTGCACTTTTAAACACATACTTGCCACCCAACTATGTACAGAAATTACCAACAAACCAGAAGGTCAGGTGTTTATTACGACGCTCTTGGATGTAATCTAGTTCCATTCAATCCCCATGCAAAGCCATATTTTTTGTTCAAGAGTCACCTTTTGAATTGTGTTGCCCTTATTGATTCAATGTAGTAGATACATCAGAGTCAGAAGGTAAAGGATCATTTTTTAATATGTTTCATACACACCATTCAGGAACAGATATATTGAAATATACTTGCACCATCTTGCACCTTAATACCATTGATATAGGTGTTTTTTCATGAACCTTTCCACTATCCGCAACATATCACGGTGTTTTTCTCAAAAAAATGCCGGAATTCCCTCAGAAGTACAGCCTTTTTTGTGTTTCTGTAGTATGTAGCATGAATTTAACATATTGCATTCCTGTTCTACATGTAATATTAAATACAACAATGAAGCCTCCCCTGCTTGCAAAGAAGCATGTGTCCTTTTGCAATTTTCCTTTGAGAAAATTAACTGTTTGTTCAACACACAATACCCCTACAAATTATGGAGGGATCCTTAAAAAGATGCAGCATTCCTGTTAAAAAAGTGCGCTTTGCTTCCAAATGATAAGCAATAATCCTGCACCATATGTAGCGTGCTTTTCAACTTGCAGCCACTGTTTTAGTATGCAGACTCTATGTCAAAAAGTGCAATGCATCAACACAGTATTTCCTGAAAATCCTGTAAGGATGACTATATTGCTTACAAATGGCAGTTATAATATGGCATTCTTTGGATCAAAGAAGCCATGTTCCAGCAAGAATAGAAGATCATTTTCTTGACGCATGTAATATTCCTATTCGAAAGGTTCAGTCTTCCTTGTTCGTTGTATTCTCAAGACCAGCTCTTTCTCTAAAGGAAGTATTTCTTTTATCTGATATATGAAAGAATTGTGCATTCTTATTAATCAATTGTGTCCATCATTTTGCAGAGGGTACTCCCCAAAATAATACCTGAAATTCCACAGGAAATCCATATAATTTCAGAAAGAGTGCTGCATATGCAAAAGGATTACATTTTGGAATAAAATGCCATAGTCTTAAGATAATATTGCATCTCACTCAGGGACGTTAAGATGCTTCACACATTCTTCAAGAAATACCATACTCTTTTGATAAAGGGACCCTTGATGAAAGGACCACTATATACACAAAAGAACCCCATCTTGAAATTTGAAATGATGGTTTAATGTATTAGGGGAATATTGCACCTTTTTCAAAGAGATGGTGCATTTTCTTGAAGGGACATATTTCAGATAGCTAAGACAAGTTCTCTTCAAAGAATGCCATGATCACTAGAACAGATCACCGCATAGTACGGGTGGTACTTTAAAGGGAATGAACAAAGTCAGGCGGCGCTCTCTTCATGGAACATCACGTTCTTAAAAAAAATAGGACTTGGATTCATGGATGTCGGGTGATTGTATGCACAAAAATGCTGAACCCATATCCTAAGCGCACTTTGTTTGCTTTATTTTGTTTCAATGGTTGCGGCATGTTTTGAAAAGTGCCAAACCCTTCAGAAAGCTAGATGAAATACAAATTTGCTCTCTGAGCATCTGATTTTATCCCAATTTGGGGAAAAGAAGGCCGGAACTAAGTGCCGGAGTCATGAAGTAGAAGGTTCTGATCTGGATTAATCAAGATAAATCCAGATTAATCAGGATCAGACAAAAATCTCGAGAAAACAAAGAAAAATGTGTCCACAACTACTCTGACCTCTGGACTAGTTGCCAATTTTTTGCTTTTTTTGTTTGTTTTTTGTTTGGTTTGGATTAATCATGATTAATCAGGATTAATCTTAAGTGGAAGTGAGACAGAACATAGTGTTGCAGTGCCAAGCACATGGTTTTGCGAAGAGAAGTGTGGTAGCCGACAGTCAGAACGGACTGTTTGACCCTACATATGGAAGGAATGGTTGTGTATTATGTGGTGTGGATTTCTCCATTGAATGTCTACCCCAAAAGCTTGAAATTCACCGCTCACAACAGGCCTTTCCGATCTATATATATATAGTATTTTAATATATTAGGATATTATTGGATATTATTGGTAATCTACGGTTATCATATATATATATCCAATAATATGCATATATTATTGGGATATGACTAGTGACGCTTGTTGGAACCTTCCTTACTTCTTTGGACGTCCAACCGCCTCCAAGAGCTCCGTGGACGGAGTGCCGACAACTCACGTGCTCAACATATATATATATATAGTAACTATATTATACATATGTACATGATTATATATATATATGTGATTATATATGGATACATATATAACTGTCAGTAACTATTATATAATCAGGTGTATCCTCCAACCATGACTCGAAGCTCCACAGCCTCCGTGATCTCCATGACCTCCGTGAAGGTTTCCGCCAATGGGGGTACCCCAATAGCTGGATGGTTTATAATGGAAAATCCCATGAAAATGGATGATTTAGGGGGTTTATAATGGACCCATGGAAAAAAATGAATGATTTAGGGCTAGCCATTTTAGGAAACCACCAAATATCAACAGATACTCAACAGATATCAACAGTATCTATGCAAGTCCCATGGAATCCCGCAACCCAGGAGCTGCTTGGTTTGTTGCAGACCTGGAGGTGACAAAAAAATCCATGCGCTTTCCTGGTCGTGACAGCCAGCTATGTGCCAAACAACTGACTTCGCAGTGTGGACAACCCAGGTATGGCCCCAAATATCTTGATCTATCACCCATGACGGATCCATGGTGCCATATATGGTGCTCCATGGATCCCATCAAGAAAAAAACCAGTTATGTTAGCATATTTCTCCCAGCACCATGGATCCGTCATGGGTCAAGATCCACCAAGATCTATCTCTTGGTCCAGAGAGAAAATGTTGGCAGTCAAGGCAGATGCATTCAAGGTATGTTGAAACCTTTAAAAAGTTGAGTCAACATCCGAAAATCTAAAAAAACTGCAAAAAAACTCTGGGCAAATGATGCCTCGAACCTATTTTAACGTGATATTTAATGGGGACAAAGATGGACAAAGCTGAATTGCCACCCTATTTAGTCTCCTGGGGGATAACTAAAGGTGAGAACCGATTTTTCACACCATGGAAGCTCAGCACAATCACCTGTGCATTCCATGCGGGCACATTCCATGGGTTGAGAACTCACTGCAGAAATGGGGTGATTCGGTTCCAACAAAAGGGGAACCAGACCGAGGTTTCTGTTGACTGATTGCGAAACAGTAATTCGCATTTCCCTGGATTGGCTTTACACTGGCTGCCTCACGAGACTTGCCAATCCATACTTGGGCATATGCTGCACCTGCTACAAATCATGGACCTTTCGTTCCATCCAAGACTATTTTTTCCGACATGGTTTTCTGGGCCAACCACAAAATCGAAAGAAAATAAACCACCTGACCCAACCCCTGCCCAATGCGCGCCTCTCTTGGCACATCGTAGCAGATTCTGAAAAGCAGGGCGAACGTCTCATGGCCCTGTGTGGCCCTCCGCCAACTTTTCACGAAGCAGTTGGCCCCTCTTCTGAATCTCCGAGTTGCCGCTGCTCATGGCAGCGTCCATGATGTCAACTGCCACGGGTTCATGCAACTTGGCTCTTCCCTCACGGCTCTCGGCCAAGTTTCCCAAGGCCTGAAAGGCCCACCTTTGCACACCGACGCTGGTTGTGTGGTTTTGCATGGACTCCAAAATGACCTGATCTGCTTCAAGACTCAGAAACCTCAAGACGTTCTGGTGTTTCGTAGTCAATTTCGTCAGCGCCACGCAACCTTCTTTTTGCACGGCTTCATTGCTGCAGTGCTTTCTCATGGCCCTCAAAATGGCCGCAGCAGCGCCCTCCCGTTCCATGAGTCTCTCTTCGTTTTCTGGTCGATTCAACGCCAAGTTCTTCAAGCACCACACAGCCTGTTCCTGGACTTCCGGGCTGGACAAGTGCGCTTCCATGACGCACAAGATGGCTTCCATACACCTGGCAGGCGTGACATCTGCAGGGAGTTGGGAGATCTGTCCTGGAAGGACGTGACGCTTCACGAGGTCACAGGTTTGGGCCGCCACCTGTGAAAATTCCTGGCCCTCCATCATGAGATCAATCAGCTTTTTCACATCACAGCCGCTGTGCATCGTGAAGGGAACAGTTGCCGCCACATACAACGGGATCTTTGCGTCGCAAGAGTCGCAAATGTTTTGTGCATCTTCAGAAAGGCAATCCGTCACAGCCACCAAATCATGGCTTGGAAGTTGGTGGGAACAGAAGCAGCGCAGAATCACGAGTAAAGGCCATTGAATCACACTAGAAGCAAGGAACAGTCGGAGGGCAAAGCCGTGTTCTTCCCATAATCCCGGGACTCCACTCCCAAATGCGTTGGCCATCCAGATCGCAGCCACCGACTCGGCGCAATGGAGAACTGCATGCAACTCCACATTAACCTCGGATCACTGAGACTTGGAATCCTGGACATGTCGCTTCAGCTTGACACAGTTTAACGTATCCGACGTATCCCTTCAGGAAAGGGCACAACGCGTAAATAGCAGTAGACCAAGGCCACATAGAGCAGAACTGGGTTTATGCACAGAAGTCGATAGCGGATGTTTTTCGTCTTTTTTTTCGCCGTATTTACCTTATGTAAAAACGATATGCCCCAGCTTCCCGCATATTGCCTTTATGTTTTTGAAACAACACAAAATGCAAACGTAGCATGATTTCCACCATTGGCAAAGACATGCAAAGAACAAATATCAAGGATTATCAAGGCCAGGAAGCAGAAAGCAAAGCACCTTCTCCGCTCAAAAGCAGTGGCTCGAACGAGCTAAGCGTGTTGGGAATCGCAAAGAAGAGTTTCCACGGATTCTCGGTGCAGTAGAGCACCAGGCCTGCTTGGAGAATGCAGTCTGCGATCCATAGAAGGGAACCACCATATGCCACATGCCAGAGCTGAAGTTCCTGCCAAATCACCGCCAATTCAAAGCTGGAAGTTGAGAAACGTCGGGAACAAGACTTTCCAAGTCATACCCTCTGGTAAACATACAAAAAGCTATTGAAAATGGCCATAGAAATAATGGATTCACCCATTAAAAATGGAGATTTTCCATAGTTATGTAATTAAACGTTTACCAGAGGGTACTCTTTGATCAACAAAAACAAGAAGCAGACATGGCCAGTCCTCATGCAATGCCAGCTGAAACAGCGGGAAAAGCAGCAATCGGCTGCAGACCTAGGGGGCACTGAACTGCAAATCAAAGGCGTGGCATAGCGCAGCTCTGAACACCACACCGGGTACACTTGAACCAGATCCACAAGGTCTTTCGGGTCCTATTGTCCTATTGCTAAGGTTTTGGTTTCATTGCAGCAAGCATTGCTCTACACATGTCTTGTAAAGTTCCACTAAGTTACCACCGACAAGACATCCTGAAACCACCAGGCCTGTCCTGGATCCACTGGAACCATTCCTCTCAGCTGAGGCTCCGGCAGCCAGCCACCTGTAGAGCAACAGGGCGGCATACGCCACAGACTGCGGCTTGGCCACGCCAACCACCACGGCTTGCCCCTGTCGATAACGGCTCACATGACCAAACCTGCCGCGCTAGCGTGGCGAAAACATATCTAGTTGGTGGTTGACCTACCCCTCTGAAAAATATGCTCGTCAGTTGGGATGATTATTCCCAATATATGGAAAAAAATGGTCCAAACCACCAATCAGATATACTTATATTATCAATAATATGATTCCATGTCTTAGCCAGGTAAAGTCCCAAAACACAAAAAGAAAACAAACTCTTTGAAAGGTTTTGGAAAAGGCTTCTCCAACAATCTTCAGCTGGGCCACTTATCGATCTTGGAGAAGGACTCACCAAGTGAGATCAGGCTCAGCAAAACCTGAGCGCAACAGACAGAAATTGCAAGCTGAAAGCTCCGACTGGAGCAGCGAAGCAACACAAAATCCTAGCCGAGTAGCAGAGCAGGCCAAAAGGGATGGCCACTGCATTGGTCCTTGACGAAGTGCCGCATACAGCTGCACAAACGAACTGAGCATCGCTTCCCCAAATGTCTCACCAATGGTCGAGGAAGCCATCAATGCTGTGAGGCCGCTGTCTCTCAGCCGGCGGTCAAAGGCATCGGACTTGTATGTGGCAAATTTTGCGGCCCAAAATTCCTGAAAGGCACATATTAGGCAGTAAAGTGGGAGGAGGTGCAGAAATGTCAGCGCACCTGTGTAACCCCGGATGGGTCGAAGCACGTCGCTCGAACCGCCCATACCCGCAGATCCTATCACACTTGTGGTCACCAGTCCAGCAAGAATAGCCAGGGCATTCAACGTGAAATACTGAAAGCGCCGACTTTGCCAGAATTTGCTCATAACCAAGGCATCACTGACCAGGTCGCCGTAGAAAAGTGCGACTGGTAAAAGAACATGGACAAACATGTGGGCCAATTTCGTGAAACTTGTTTCCATCGCCTGAATCATGGTGCACTCGGTCTTCATGGGCGCCCTCATGCCCACAAGAATAAGCCCAAGCAACACCAAAAGGACGAGAAGTGCCCATGGCCAGTGGCCCAAGACAAATGTACACAGCAATGGAAACTGTACAAAGAGTTGCTCCAGCGCACGGACAAAATACTCTACCCAGACTTTCTGCAGAGCAGAAGTGAGATCCACGATACTTTGGTGGAAATCTCCCTCAGAAAGGTCAGATACTGCCAGGTCAAAATTCAATCCCAGTGTAGAAACTAGGAGGGTGCAAAAGAACAGCAGAAGCACAACCACACCTCATGGCAGAGCAAAAGCCGCTTCGTTTCTTGTCTGTGGCAAGGAATACCATCTATGTAAGACAAACAGCAGCCAGTAGACCAGGAACCACAAACACAAAAACCTATAAAAACATACCAAATCCCATGACGGATCCATGGTGCTGCTATGTATGGTGTGCCATGAATCCCATCAAGAAAAATCCCTATTTTGTTAGCATAATTTAGCATATTTCTCCCAGCACCATGGATCCTTTGGGAATCAATCCACAACACCTCAGGTGTTGCTAGGCAACCACTAAGGCACCCACAGCTCGTCATTGCGAAGCTGCGGCAACTTCGAGAGCCGCTCTGCTCCTCGCTGGGGCAAAGGCGTGTCACAAGTCTGGCGTAAGATGACCCCAGAACAAAAAATGATACCCTCTGGTAATTTAACATAGCTATAGAAAATCACCATTATTAATGGGTAAATCCACTATTCTATGGCCATTTTCAATAGCTACGCAACAAATTACCAGAGGGTATCAAAACCAAAAGAAAACCTCTGATTTGTCCTTGATTTTTCTCTTCCCTCTTGAAAGTATCCGATGCTCACAAACAAACCAGTTAGGCTACTGGTTGAAATGGTTGAAACATGTCGCAGCTTGTGGCTTGCAGTTTGACAGCCAACTGCGCAATTGGAATCCCCATTGCACATGTCCAGACGGACCGCTTCCACAAAGCCAATGCAAAGTTCTGCTAATCTCTTGAGGTTATATATGTACGATATACCATCTGGTTATTTGTTACACAGCCATGGAAAGATCCACCATTTTCAAGTTCGGTAAACAATCTATTTCGATTAGGGCCATGGCTTAACCATGGCTATGTAACAGTCATAACCAGAGGCTAATCCCATTAATATTCCCATGATTTTCCCATATAAAACCATATAAAACCATCATTTCTAGTGGATATGTCCCATATCTATCCAACTCCCACAGGTTACGTTAACCAGAACTTCACCACGGCTCCTCAACAGAGATCCTGGCACCATCGACACACAACGAGCCGTCGGAATCAGAGCCTGGCTGCTATGTATGGTGTGCCATGGATCCCACCAAGAAAAAAGACCTATTTTGTTAGCATTTTTTTTACCATATATATATATATACACACATGGATCCCCAATGGGGTGGAACGGAAATTCTGCAAACGCCATCCTGTTCGGGTCAAGTATTTGAGAGAAAACCGTGGCAAGAAACGCCACGGACCGAACAGAAACGCAATATCGGCATGGAGCAAGGGGCCACGGCAGTTTAAGTCTCCTGTCGTTTGGGCTTGGGTTCCCCACTTGAGTCCGACTCAACGAATTCACGGTATTGATGCCCCAGAGACATGGCTCCAACGGCAGACCCTGCACCTTTTGCAAGATCCAAGTCGTAGTATTTCAAGAACTCTACACACATCATGATCCAACACCGGTAGACTAGACTGCTTGGTCTACTATTGGTTCATATTGATTCATATTTTTGCGCCATTTTCCGGCATTGCTGCACAGCAGAGCCCTATGGGCAGAACAATTATGAAAAATTTGGCCCTGTCAAGGTTCCGAAGGACAAACATGTCTGAAGACGTCTGATCAGTGGAGGTCCATATCACTGATCAGGGTATATATATATATTTATAATATCACTATATCTACTAGTATCACTCTATATCACTGTATCTGTCTCACCTTCAGACATTTCTGTCTCACTTTTTTCACCCTACGGTGGAGGTGCTGCAGGGCTGAAAATGGCCTAAATTCACCTCATGGCGCTTACCCGCCTTCGCTTAGCGATAACAAAAAAAAAGTTCAACGGGAGAAAATTTGGAGAAAGTTCGAGTCTGTGGGAGATGGAAATTTTTGGAAATCTTTAGAATTGTTGGATCCAAAAAATTGTTGTTTTGCCTCCCTAGATGTTCACAATCTGCGTTGCAAGTGGGATGATTTCTGGGTCCGGGCCGCAACGCTACAAAAAACTCCAAGGTCAGGAACTGCTGGGATTGGCCAAAGACTCCAAGTGCCGTCCATCCACAGGGAGGCGGGTTGAACACATGGCCTTTTTTATCACAAAGGAGGTTTTTCCAAGCAGCACTTTGGGCTGTGGGTGAAACAGGATTCAATAGATGTGGATCATAGCTGCATTCAGTTGTCAAACAGGCCACATGGTAGGTGTTGCTGGCCTGCAAGGTGGTTGGGAACAAATCTGACATGGAACAAATCAGCCACAAATCCGGCAGCACACTGTGGCAGCACACTGCGCACCGCAAAAAACAAAACCAGATATAACCAAATCAGCGTGTTGGTGTGGAAAACTGTGACTATATATAACAGTGGGAGAACCGGGTATGCGCATCGATTCAGAAACCTGAAGTGCAGTACACCAGCAGCACCTCAAACACATTGTTTTCTATCATCTATTGGGCAAACTTTGAGAATTCAAACAGCCCGCCATTTGCTGCCGCAGAAACAAAACCTGAACAAACCCTTGACAGTATGACAAACACAAGGCCAGCCTTCCATCAAAAGAATACCAAGTTTGGTAAGGATTTCCAATTGGTCCTTTGAAGGAAGGCACCTGTATGAACGCATCTGAGTTTCCTCCTGGTGGCGTGAAACTGCTGGGGTCGTGCAGAGTTTTTGCTTTCCTCATTGCAGAGACTTGGTTGCTTGGTTCGGTGGAAAAATTGCGATCGTTTCTTGTCGTGAAAATATCAAAATCAAAGTAGCTGTGTCCCCTATCGGGTACGCTGGTAACATGTACAAACTGCCCTAAGCAAAATATCTTTAATGTTCTAGTCACTGGCCCTGATAAATTGCCCAAAATAATAGTTTTGGGAGCCTATCGATTATGGGTCCTAAAAAGTGGTCCAAAAATAGGTTCCATATCTCCAGGCTGAGGCTGCATTTTGGAATGATTTTGCAGGGTCGGGATATACAGCCAGAGCCAAGTGAAAAAGTCAGAAGCCCTGAAAATAATTTTGTATCCCAGAAAACAAGGCACGAGCTCATTCGGGGGGGGCCTTTGTTTCACAAGGCAGGCGAGCATTTTGCATGCAGAATGTCTCTGTCAAAAGGGTTTTCAAAGTTCATAGCGTCTTTTCCAAAACTTGGACGAACAAAACAAGGGGTTGACATTGAGAACATCTCCCATCATCTATTTCAGTGGCAGTATGTCAAACAGAAAAGGCATCCATGTGGGGAGCATCATGTGAAGCAAGAAAAGGTTTCGCATTAAGAACAGCTGTCACAAAAGGCATCCATTTGCAGGGCATTTTGTTTTAAAAGAACTGGCTTCACATTGAGAACATCTTTCATAAAGGCATCCATTTTGGGGGCATTGTGTCAAACAAAAAAGATTCAATAATGACAGCATCTTTGACATGAAAGGCATTGGTTTTGGGGGCATCAGGTTTCAACAAAACATAGGCTTCAACGCTGAGAATTATAAAGTCTTTGTTGAAAGGCATCCATTTCTTTCAGCGGCATTGGGTTTCAAGAAACTGGTTTGCATGTTGAAAACACGCCTGTCAATGCATCCATTCGGGGCGATAGTCCTGTACAAAAAAGTTGTTTTTCAACGGGTCATAAAGGGATATATTGGGGGCATCCGTTTGGGGCCACTATGTTTCAGCCTCGACGGCCTTCCATGTTGAGACCATGTGTGCCATAAAAAGCATCCGGCATCCATTTTGGGGCCGCTGGTTTTCCGCACAACAAGTGTTTGAATGGTGGGGATTTCTTCACAAAAGGCATCCATTTGGGGGGACATTAGATATTCACAAAATGGGCCACCCTACTGCAATTACATGCAAGATCATCACTAATTTGGATCTGCACTTCGCATGCGAGGCAACTAGAACTAGACTTTTTTTTCAGAATGAAATCCTTCACAGCCTGCTTGATGGAAGAGAAATCATCCTCATGATCCAAGTCAACTGCAAGTCCTTCCGATGGTGGCCACATTGGTGCCAAAGCCAGACCAAGACTCAGAGATTTGTTTGGCCCTTGGCTCATGTTTCACGATTGAGAAGTGCTTGGCATGTGTGTAACGCCTATCTTCCAGGGCCATCCCACCGCATGCTCCTGCCAAAGGCACGGTGCCCCTTTTGCACCGCACATCAGACGCCCCGCGGCACTGCCGGGCCAGTGGATGAAATGGATTCTCATGCACAAAACTTATGCACGTATGGACTAGTTGCAAATCCTGACCAAATATTCATGACCGGTTGAAGCATAGCGGCTTGCGAGCATGTTGGGTGTAATTTGGGCTCCACAAGGATTTCCTGACCAGTCCAAAGTGTTTGGGGGCCTTGGCAAGCAAATGCAAGAAACAAATAGAAACATGTGTTTTTTCATTGAGCTTCGACCAAGTTAACAAAGGAATACCTCGCCATCTTGGAAGAGGCTCCCGGGAATCTATCTCTTGATGCCCCAAGTTTGGATTGCTCAGAATTCGCTTTGCGCGTAACTAGCCTCTTCCAAATTGAGAAGGAAACAAACTAGGTTTGAAGTCGGTGGAGAAACCCCCCTTTCACCCCTTTCACCCGCTTTCATTCCAATGGTGGACTATGACAGTTGACTGGTGTCTACTTTCGAGGTCACACGGACATGGCCAAAAAACAGTTGAGATGAAGATGTTCCGAAATTCATTGGAAACCAATTTCCGG